CGAGGGAAAGGCCTAAACCGTTGCCGGTAGGGAGAAAAACGATAGGTGAACGGGATTCAAGGCCAACGTCCTGCACTACATTTTGTACATCGGCACCCAACCGTAAGAGACGATAAACGCAATCTTGAGCACCGGTTGTAGTGTTGTCTCACTCAAGCTGTAGTTTCAGTGGCTCTCGGCGGCATACACAGCTGTAGACAGACTGCTGAAGTCGAGCGTGTTGTCACCCTCTGTCGTAGCCACTGTCAGAGCCACGGTTCCAACCTGAGGTTCGTCCCGCATAACGCATGCGCGCCATCGCCCTGGTGCCTCAGCATGCGGCGTCACTGCTGTCCAAGTCACAGCATGGTCATAGCATGTGGCGTCACTGCTGCCCAAGTCACAGCATGCGGCGTCACTGCTGTCCTAGTCACACATGCGGCGTCACTGCTGTCCCAGTCACAGCATGCGGCGTCACTGCTGTCCAAGTCACAGCATGCGACGTCACTGCTGTCCAAGTCACAGCATGGTTATAGCATGCGGCGTCACTGCTGCTCAAGTCACAGCATGTGGCGTCACTGCTTTCCTAGTCACAGCATGCGATGTCACTGCTGCCCAAGTCACAGCATGCGGCGTCACAGCTGTCCAAGTCACAGCATGCGGCGTCAGTGCTGTCCCAGTCACAGCATGCGGCGTCACATATGCTTGTGTCACAGCATAAGGTCACTGCGAGGCACGTCATAGCGAGCAGTGTCATTGCTGCTTATGAGAGACCTCACTTCTACTCACGTCATAGCGTGCGGTGTCACCGCTGCTTAGGTCCCGTCATATGGTTACTATTGCCCACGTCATAGCGTGCGGTGTCACTGCTGCTTATGCCACATCATATAAGTACTGCTGCACACGTCATAGCGTGCGGTGTCACTGGAGCTGATGTCACATCATATGGTCACTGCTCCTCACGTAATAACGTGCCGTGTCACTGCTGCATGTGCTTACATCACATGGTCACTGCTGCCCACGTCATAGCGTGCGGTGTCACCGCTGCATGTGCTCACATCGTATGGTCACTGCTGCCCACGTCATAAGGTGCGGTGTCACTGCTGCTCATGGCACATCATATGGTTACTGCTGCCCACATCATAGAGTGCGGTGTCACTGCTGATAATGTCACGGCAACTGCACACTGCGGCTCGTGTCAAAGCATGTAGCCTTGGCTGCTGACATCCCAACATGAGTTGACACTGCTGCCAAGTCACAGCATTATGTTAATTTGACGTTTTATGTCACAACCTCCGGTCACTGATGTCTTTGACAGCAAGGGTGCTCACTCCTCCTCATGTCCAGCATCCTATCCCTGGTGCTCATGTCAAAGCATGTGGTGTCTACTGTTGGCGTCACAACATGATGCACCACTGCTGCCAAGTCAAAGCATAAGGTCTATTTCCTGTTTATGTCACAGCATCTCATCAATGCTTTTTATGCCTGTCCATGTGCTCACTCCTGCTAATGTCACAGCATCATATCACTACTGCTCATGTCAAAGCATGTAGTGTATAGGGTTGGAGTCACCACATGAGGCGCTACTGCTGCCAAGCCACAGCATAATGGCACTAATATTGATGTCATAGTATCCCATCACAACTTTTTATGCCAGCGCATGTGCTCGCTCCAGCCCATCACACAACAGCATATCCCAGGGGCGCATGTCAAAGTAAACTGTCTAGTGCTGGCATCACAACAAGAGGCGCTACTACTTACAATTCACAATATAATGTCTATTTCCACTTTCTGTCACCGCATTTCATCCCTGATTTCTATGACTGCGCATTTTTGGGTTTGATGTGAAGGGCATCATCTCGGATCAAGGGACCACGTTTAGAGGCGTTGCGGTAGAGCGAAAGCTGGATCATCAGGTGGATTGGTGGCACGTGAAGCGGACACTGTACAATCTCTTCTGCAAGGAGCTTCAGGATCAGGTGCGGATGGCTGTGGAGGTGGACAAGGCTAGCTGTGTCGAGGAGCTATGGTTGGCTAAGGTGGAAGAGTTAAAGCAGCGGTTGAGGACCAAAGGATTGGTGAAAGAGGAAAAGGGGACACTCAAAGCATCACTTGTGAAGGCGGTGTGTGAAGCCATGGGTACCATTGCATATGTGAAGATGACCCCTGATGAAGCAAAGTGGAAGTTTCCTGAGTTGCGAAAAGTCCGGCGGGTAGGAGGAGAACGGGCGGCGGTAGATGTCCTAGTGGGATATGGCGAGGTGCGTCCTGATACTACTGGAGAGATGCAGCCCATCGTTCGAGATGCTGCGGTTGACGAGGCGGATGCGGGCGCAACCCAAGTTGTTGTGCAATGGGCGGATGTGGAGGAGTTATGGCAATACGATATCCATCCTGTGCGTGGTGCGAGACCATCGTCATTGGCTAGTTCTTTCATCGTGCACGCACATGCGGGCCCATGAAGTAACTTACGATTCATCGGCGGGACGACTCCGTGGGCCAGCGATGATGAAGCTACTGGTATGAACACTTTGTGAAACTTACTTTCCATGCCATATTCAAATTGGAGTACACCGCTTGTTTCCTAAAATTGTTCATACTGCTCGTTTTGACCTGACAGAGACGATGACTGGCTGCAACAACGATGGTGCAGCGAGTGAGACCGACAACCATGGAAGTGACGTCGGAGAGAATTTGCCCCGTTGGACTGGGCGGCGAAAACGGAAACGTGGCGGAGATGAGATAAATGCCGGCGATGAGGAGAGTACGGTGGCGCAGCACTTCACCTCGCATTTCTTCCATGTGATGATCCGTTGCGCGGCGCTGTTGAAAGCGGGCACCCCTATGACTCCGAAGATGTGGCAAAGGAAATTGGGACGGCACCTAACCACTAGGCAGGTGACCACTCCAAGTGTGGACGGAACGGGAGTGTTCCTCCAAGGTGTGTTACCGAGAAGTGGGGCAGGGAATGTGCACTTTATGAGCCTGGATCGGAAACGCACAAGGCGGTTCTTATATGGTTCAAGAAACTGTGTTCGCCAGACAAGGTGAAACCCTATGTTCACAGAGCCAACAGTTCCATAAACGAGTCTTTCCATTCCCTGATCATCAAATACGCTGCTAAGAGTATCAGGTAGTCTTGAGGCACGAGTGGGGCTGGCTGTCCTGCATTGGAATAACTCGATGGACAGGCTGGTCACATCGTATCGCACTCGTGTACGGCAAGTAAATCGGGTTTGACGTGCCAACAAGGATCGAACCCTCGGACCTATGGATTGGTCTTGGGTTGATCGGATTATGGAGGACTGGCAACGATCGCTGGGGTTTGGAGTCGACAATGAGATTATGGAGATGGCCCCAAAGAGGCAGGCGCAACATCCTGTCGACTTACCTTGTGGAGGGCGACACCCATCTGTTGTTGGGCCGGTTACTCCTGTGCGAGAAGGTGGCATAGTCCGCGGCCTTACTTCGACGCGCGGTGCTGGGCGACGTATTTTATGTAAGATCCGAACCACATTCTCGCCAACCCTTACTCTTGTCTTATGTAATATATTTTGACGCTCCCCTCTTGCGATCATGTTGCAGGTGATGCCACCAACCATCCTCGATAAACGTTTTGGAAACACTTACGCCGACGTGGAGGGATCTAAATCACCATTTTGTCCAACACGCCGCGTCAATTTAGATGTCGGCGATGCTGGTGAGCGCCTTTGAGGGTAATAGTGCCTATCCTTGTCCATATCACTGCTACTTTCACCCATAACATGTGCATCTCTCGCTTTGCCCTCTATCTTCACTTTCAGACCCGGTATGCCCTCTCCCACCCTTGTCCCATGCTCCCATCCTACTCCCTTCAATGCCCATCTTACGCCCTCATGCTTCAATTCCCCAGTCTAGTCATTCTAAACCCTCCACCTCAGTCAATCATAGAGCATTATTTTTCCCTCTCATTCCAACCTTGTTCTCTCAGCTCCTGGACGTGCTTTTGGGGAAGGATACTGGTGTGGAGTTGGTGCCATACGAGTAGAGGGCCATGGTGGTGTCTCTGTGCCTGACCCCAAAGGAGGCCTTGGCGCCCTTTGATGTCAGCCGAGTCGTGGACCCCTCCGAGCACAACCTCAACCACCAATAGGTGCGAGTGCCATCAGTCATGCGAATCAACAGTACATGCGACAGCGTAAGTCAAGTGCAAACCATTGATTTATCATTTACGATGAGGTATCTTTCGTAAACCCTTCGTTCGTCTTTGTCGACTTAGCATGCATTGTGATACTACCCAATTATCCCCTTTGCAACAAAATACAAGCTGCTCCTACTCCATCCGGTTCCATGTCTTCTTGGTTCTAACCTTTGATGCATACTACAACCACTGATTTATCTTTTTGTGCTCGTTTCACTATCATGGCACTAATGTTGCCCATGCCTCACACCCCTCCCCACACATGCGTTCAACCAGCCGCATGGACTTTTTGTCAACAGCTTTCAAGGTCAGGAGTGGCCCCTTATTGCTCCCAACGTGGTGCTCTCATTACCATTTGTCTCTTTCTTTGCTCTACTTCTCCATGTTTTGCTCCAGTGAACTGCAGATCCATTTGGTGTCCGGAACATTTTTGTGTTTGTTGGAAATTTTCACCGCATACAAGACATTACCACCACACGATTGAGTACATGTAGCCTACAGATATTACTCCTCCTACCTGCATGATTTTGGCAGGAACAGGTTGCACCTTCTAAAGCAAGTACGGTAGTTTGATGTTTTTGCTCATGACTCAGCATAATTAGTATGTGTGTGTGTCAAGTGGCTCAAGTCACAGCATGCGTATACATGTATTAAGGATTTTACATTGAATGCGAATGAGCACTTGTCCACCAAACATGTTTGCCTCAATGGTCCTGGTTTCAAGAATGACACAACATAAGCTCTCCTGCAGTGAGAGTCAACGGTGGTAAAATTGAGTGCCATCATATGGTGTACGAGCCAATAAGTGTTGGAGGTGGACAACCCCCGGTCTCCATCCACATCAGTGCATTGTCCTCTGTTGAGAGAGGTGTGGTGGCGATGATGAGCTTGCTGACAGTTGCCACACATGGGGAGATGGTGAGGGAAAGGGAGGCAGAGGATGGGGGGAAATAGGAGGGAGGGTGAGGAAGGGCAGGGAAGGCAATGGTGGTAGTAGGGGATAGGTATACGAGGAAGGGGGTGAGAAAGACGAGGGACAGGGAGAAAGGCGATAAGGAGAAGGGAAACATAGAGAAGGGGGACAGAGAGAATATGAACTGAGAGGACGGGAGGATGAAAGGACAGAGGCATGTGAGGACAAGAGGACGAGAGGACAGGGGGACGAGAGGTCAGGGGGACGGGGGGATGAGAGGACGGGGGGATGAGAGGACAGGCGGATGAGAGGACGAGGGGATGAGAGGATGGGGGGACGAGAGGACAGAGGGATGAGAGGACGGGGGGATGAGAGGACAGGCGGACGAGAGGACAGGGGACGGGGGGATGAGAGGTTGGGGGGAGGAGAGGACAGGGAACAGGGGGATGAGAGGACGGGGGGGTGAGAATGAGGACAGGGGGATGAGAGGACAGGGGGATGAGGGGACAGGGGGGTGAGAGGACAGAGGGGTGAGAGGACGGGGGGATGAGAGGACAGGGGGATGAGAGGACGGAGGGATGAGAGGAGAGGGGGATGAGAGGAGGGGGGGATGAGAGGAGGGGGGGATGATAGGACAGGCGGACGAGAGGACAGGGGACGGGGGGATGAGAGAATGGGGAGACGAGAGGACAGGGAACAGGGGGATGAGAGGACGGGGGGATGAGAGGACGAGGGGATGAGAGGACAGGGGACACGGGGATGAGAGGCCGGGGTAATGAGAGGACGGGGGGGTTTTTCGCGGGAGGGGAGGGAGGCCGGCGGGAGGGGGGATTCCCGAGCGACACGGAGGGCGATGGCAGGGGAAGCGTGGGCGACGGTGGGGGGAAGCGTGGGCGACGGTGGGGGGAAGCGTGGGCGACGGTGGGGGGAAGCGTGGGCGACGGTGGGGGGAAACGTGGGCGACGGTGGGGGGAAACGTGGGCGACGGTGGGGGGAAACGTGGGCGATGGTGGGGGGAAACGTGGGCGACGGTGGGGGGAAGCGTGGGCGACGGTGGGGGGAAGCGTGGGCGACGGTGGGGGGAAGCGTGGGCGACGGTGGGGAGAAGCGTTGGCGACGGTGGGGAAAAGAGTTGGCGACGGTGGGGAATAGAGTTGGCGACGGTGGGGAAAAGCGTTGGCGACGGTGGGGAAAAGCGTTGGCGACGGCGGGGGGAAGCGTGGGTGACGGGGAGGAAGCGTGGGTTATGGTGGGAGGAAGCGTGGGGGACGGTAAGAGGAAGCGTGGGCGACGGTAAGAGGAAGCGTAGTTGACGGTGGGCTGAAGCGGGGGTGACGGTCCGGTGAAGCGTGGGCGATGAGCGTGTGTGAATGTGGGGGGAGGCGTGCGCGATGGTCAGCGGAATTGTGGGTGCACCCAGGGAGCAGGAGGCAGCAACGGTAAAGGGGAAGCGTGAGAGAAGGTGAGGGAAAGGGTGGGGGGAAGCGTGGGCGTGTGCGTAGGGTACGCAGAAGGCGAATGTGATGTTTGAGGAAGGGCAATGCCAGGGCGACCGAGTGAGGCAACGCGATACACCGTGGCGTTGCTGTCATACCGAGGCGCTACGACTGGAAAATAAGTCGGGGTGTCTACATTGGCCGAGAGGTTGACGGCGGAGGCGGAAGGCTGGGGATACTTTCGCGACGCGCGAGCGTGTGCTTCTTTCTAAGCCTGAGACTACTACTCGCTGCAACGACACTTGGAGAGAACGTGGCGGTTGCGTTAGAGGAAACATAATGGCGGCGGCTCGGTTGCAACTAAAGTCGCCAAAGGTCCCTGATTCGTGTCTTTGAACAGAGCACTTAGACTGAAGATTGCCCGTATGTGACGGAGAACGACTACTAGCGTGCCTCATAATATGTGTGTCCAAGCGTTCCCGATGGTTATCAAGTTTACTCAAGGTGAATAGTGCTTAGGCATTTTTCCTGCTTGTTGTTCCAGTTTATCGCTGGCCAATGTTACGGGTGCAATGAATCAAGGTAGCGAGAATTGCACTAAGGTGTCAAACGAGTACAAAATGTGAGCGAAGGCATGAGCGAGCATTTATACGCGAAACATGCAAAACGGTAACGCGGTGCGTGCGAACTTGCTAGTGCTACGCTGGAGCGAGGCTCGGGCTAGTCCCGAAGCGTAGGCCGATACGGCCATGCCAGCAGTGCGAGGTTTGGCAAAACAGTGCGCGCGAAGTCGGCGAAGTTCCGTTAGCAGTAACGGGCGAACAGTCGGCTGCTGCTGTACGCGATGTAGTCGGCTCCGTAAGGAATGCCTGAGAAAATTCCTTACACTACCCCCCCCCCTTAAGAAGCCCCCTCCGCTACGCGAGTGCGTGTATATCGCGGAATCCCCGGCTTCTCAAGTACACTTGCAGGGCAGGGTGATTTTCGATGTTGCTCAGGGGTACCCAGCTATCTTCAGTTGGCGTGCGGTCTTTCCAGCGAACGAGGAATTCAATCCTCCTGATTCCCGTGGGGTGGCGGATCCGATGGCTCAAAAGTTTTTCGGGCTCGATGATCGGCTCTGATGCAGGGCGAGTCATTGATTGTGGCCGGTGACGCGGCAGTTGACTCGTGGTCGGGATGTATGGGCGAAGTAGGCTGACGTGGAACGAAGGGCTGATGTACCAGTCAATTGGCAACAGTAGGTGCGCGGTGACGGGTGTGATCATGTGACTGATTTGGAATGGTCCACAGTAGCGCGGTCGTAATTTTGGTACGTCGGGCAGTCGCAGATTTTGCGTGTCGAGTAGCACGTAATCACCAGATTGATACGTGACGGGGCGGCGGTGGCGATCAGCGTTGCGCTTAGCGATGACGTTGGCCTTTTTTATTGCTTCGGCGGCTTTGGCGCGGGCAGCTTGCAGGATTTCGGCGAATTGTTGTGCGCGTGGCGTTGGGTTGTCCGGACTCGGCGTCATGGGCACTGTGGGGTTCTGCCCATAGTTCAGGTAGAACGGGGACTGCTGCGTCGTGGCTGATGTGGCGTTGTTGTACGCGAACTCGATCAGCGGCAGCTGCTGCTCCCAGGTCGTGGGGTCGTCGCACGTGGCACGAATCAACTGCTCCATCGTCTGATTCGTCCGCTCCGTTTGGCCGTCGGTCTCGGGGTGGTACGACGAACTGAACTGTAGCCTGGTCCCGAACTGCTCCCAGAGGTTCTTCCAGAAGTTGCTGGTAAACTTCGTGTCCCTGTCGCTGATAATTGCTGCTGGTATCCCGTGCAGGCGAACAACGGCTGCGATGAACAGGCGAGCGGTCTCTTCGGCTGAGATCGACTTTTTGCACGCAGCGAAGTGTGCCATCTTCGTCAACCTATCCACGACGACCATCACCGCGTCGTTACCCCCAGGGTTCGAAGGTAACCCTGTGACGAAGTCCATGGTTACTTGCTGCCAGGCGCGTTCGGGCGGTGGGATCGGCTGCAATTGACCCGCCTTCCGCTTCCTTGAACTCTTCATCACCTGACACGTCGGGCACGAGCCCACGTGCTGCTGTACGTCGGTCAACAGCTCCGGCCAGTAATAGTACCGCTGCAGTTGCTGTCGTGTTTTTTCTACCCCGAAATGTCCCGAGGTAATCCCGTCGTGTGCCTCCTGCAGTAGCAGCTCCCTCAGTAGTGAGTACGCGGGTACCCAAATGCGGTTGGTGCCTGTTTTTACGTAATAAACTCCTTTTGCTTCTGCCAGTTGCTGTGAATTTCCGGTCGTGAAAAATGGGTCGGTGCGGTATCCGTGGGTGAATAGGCCAGTTAAAAGCGGGTTGGTCTGGGCGAGTAGGATGGCGTGGAGTTGGGCGGTGGGGCGGGTGAGAGCGTCGGCGATGTTGGATGCTCCTTTTTTGTACGTGACGGTGTAGTGAAAATTGGACTCGAGATAGTCCAACCAGCGAATCTGGCGTGGGTTGAGATTCGGTTGGGCGCGAAGGTACTGTAGCGAGCGGTGGTCTGTCCGTACTGTCACGTCGCCACCAGTCAGGTAACATCGCCAAACTTTGAACGCGTGCACGATCGCTAGCATCTCGCGGTCGTGTATCGCGTAGTTACGTTCGGGCGGGTGTAACTTGCGGGACTCGTACGCGATTGGCTGGAGGCCATTCCCGAAATCCTGCAACAGTACTGCTCCCACAGCGATGTCACTTGCGTCGGTGACGAGCTCGAACGGACGGTGGGGATCTGCAATGTGAAGGACGGGCGGGGAGCACAAAATATTTTTGAGGGCCGAGAAGGCAGCTTGCTCTTTCTCCCCCCACGTGTACTCAACCCCCTTCCTCAGCAGGTCAGTCAACGGGGCAGTCAGTTTCGCCATGTCGGGGACGAACCGGCGCACGTAGTTGACGAACCCCAGGAAACTCTGCAACTCGGTCAAGTTGGTCGGCGCGTGCCAAGCCTGAATCGTCGCAATTTTCTTCGGGTCTATTTCCACTCCTGCAGCTGAAATAACATGTCCCAAAAACTCCAGGCGGTCCTGTAAAAACTCACACTTAGATGCTTTGGTCAGTAGGCGGTTCTCACTCAGGATTTTAAAAACTGCTTCGATGTCTTGTAAGTGCTGTGCTCTGTCAGGGCTGTAAATCAGTATGTCGTCCAGATAAACGATGACGCACTTATCTAAAAGCGGGCAGAATGCTTCGTTCATGGTCATTTGGAAAGTGGCGGGGGCGTTGGTCAGTCCGAATGGCATGACGGTGTATTCGAAGGATCCGTAGCGTGTTCGGAATGCGGTTTTAGGGCAGTCGGGTGGGTTGACGCGGATTTGGTGGTAGCCCCCTCGGAGGTCGATTTTCGAGAAAACCCGGGCTGTGCGCAGTTGGTCGATCAGTTCGTCGGCTCGTGGGATGGGGTAACGGGATTTGATGGTAACCCTGTTCAGTGCCCTGTAGTCGATGCACATGCGAAAACCCCCGTCCTTTTTCGGTGTGAACAGTATTGGTGCGGCGAAAGGCGACGAACTAGGGCGAATGAATTCCTTTTCTAGCAGGTAATCGAGCTGCTTCCTTAGTTCGTCTAGTTCGGGTTGGGTCAGTCGGAACTGTCGCTGTACTGTTGGCTGTGCCCCCGGTTCCAGTTCTATCCTGTGATCGTGCGGTCGCTGAGGTGGCAGTCCCGTTGGCAGGTCATCCGGGAAAATGTCACTGTACTGTTGTAACAGTGCCGCCAGGTCACTCGGTACGTCGGTCAGCAGTTTCTGTAAATCGCCTCCCTTGTCTGCTGCCTCGGCTTCCCGAATGTCAACCGCGTACACGTCGGCTCCGGCCGCAACAGCGCGTTTCATCGTGATCGCGTTGACACGCACCGACGAAGACTCAGGCGAGCCCCAGCGAGGTAAGGCGATGCTGTTACCATTCACTCGCACGGTGCAGTCACCCGTCGTCCAGTCAATTCGCGGGTTGTGTCGTCGCAGCCAATCACGCCCGAGTAAAATGTCGGTTCCGTCGAGGGTCGTTGCGAGCATTTCCTGACTAAACGTGAAGTTACCCCCGCATCGAATCCGAACTCGGTCTACGCGTTCCCGTATTGCCAGCGGCGTGCCGTCTACCAGTCGTGCGTCGATCTCAGGTAAGCATCGGTCCAGTGGCAGTCGCAGTTTTCGTGCTGTAGCAGTGTTAATGAGGCTGTGGCTGGCTCCCCCATCTACGAAGATTTTAACTAAGTCCGTCCCAATTTTCCCACTGAGCAGTATAGGGCTATCTACCGTGGTACCCTCCTTATTCGGCCGGGTGTGGTCGATTGCGTGAACCGGCACAATCACTCGGTGAGGGTCGGTTGGGTCGGGCGAGCGGCGTGACCTGTCAGTAGAGGGCCCGTCTGCTACTGACTTCCAGCGTTTCCCTGCTGCTTGGTCTGTGTCTGCTGCTCAGCTTCCCCCTTTCCCTTAGCGTTTTCCGGGCATTCGCTCTTGCGATGTCCCGGCCGATTGCACGCAAAGCAGCGCCCTTTGAACGGTGCGGCAGCGGCATTTGCGGCGACGGCGCGTATCGTGGCGCTCTCGTTCGTCCCACGAGGCCGATGTCCCCAGGTGTTGTTTCCGTAGGACCCCGGTCTCGGTCGGCGAAAGAAGTCGAGCTTCTCCGCCATAGCGAGAATTTCCTGAAACTCAGTGACGCCGCGAAGCTGGATTTCCTGAGCGATGTCCTGCTTCAGGCCGCCGATGTAGCGGTCGATGCGTTCGCTCTCATGCATGTAGCCCACCTGCTCGCATAGCGCCAGAAATCCGCTCGTGTAATCCTGGACGGAACCGAGTTGGCGCCAAGTGCGGAGCTTCTGTCGCGCCGAGATCGAGGCCGCGATTGGCTCAAATCGAGCGCGCAGACCTGCGCACCACGCGTCCCACGTGCGATACTGGGGCACCTCCACGAAATACGACGGCGCCCAGGGTCCGGTTTGTCCTTCCCGTGTCGGTAGTGTCGCGTAGTCGGTCGGCTTCGTGACGATGACGCGCCACCAGTCCATGGCGGGTCCTCGCAGCAACGACACGGCGTATCGAATCTTCGCCGAGTCCTCTGAGACGTAGTTGGCGTCGAAGAAAACATTCATTGTGAATAACCACGCCTGAACGGTAGGACCACCCCGTTGACTCGGGTCAAAGCATGGCGGGCGCTGCGGTTTCAGCGGCATCGGTGACGGCAGTCCCGAATCGTGGGTTGGTGCCGAAATCGTGACGCGAGGCTGACTTGGGGCCGCAGGCGTCGCTCTGGGGTGTGTCGTGCCGTGGTCGTCGTCTCCGTCGGGGCGGACGACGCCATCACTGGCCGCGCTCGCGGGTTGCCCCACACTCCCGTGTTGTGATGTTGAGGGTGCAGGTTGAATCGGAGTGCCAGGTGCTTGGGATTGTGCTCTCATGAGGTCATTTTGCAGTGATGAGCGTTCTGCCGTCAATGCCGCGATTTCCTCGGAGCTTTCGTGCAGTTGTCGCAGCAGATCGTTCAAACGCTCCTGCGTGAGAGTGGTGACGTCGATGTTTTCGGCCATGACGAAGGGCGTCGGCTCGTCTTAGTCTAGGCGCAGTCGTGGCTGCACGCGTTTACGAGAGAACGCGAGGACAGCGGCTCCTAGGGGCTAAGGTGCGTGAGTCCCTTCGAGTGAAAAATCAAAAGTTGATTTCCTGGTGTGCGGAGATGCGCGGTCCGAAAGAAAGGGGCTCTGATAACCAAGTGTTACGGGTGCAATGAATCGAGGTAGCGAGAATTGCACTAAGGTGTCAAACGAGTACAAAATGTGAGCGAAGGCATGAGCGAGCATTTATACGCGAAACATGCAAAACGGTAACGCGGTGCGTGCGAACTTGCTAGTGCTACGCTGGAGCGAGGCTCGGGCTAGTCCCGAAGCGTAGGCCGATACGGCCATGCCAGCAGTGCGAGGTTTGGCAAAACAGTGCGCGCGAAGTCGGCGAAGTTCCGTTAGCAGTAACGGGCGAACAGTCGGCTGCTGCTGTACGCGATGTAGTCGGCTCCGTAAGGAATGCCTGAGAAAATTCCTTACAGCCAATCACGGATCACCTCTGCTGCTTGAAACCGACGGATTGTTCTGAACCAGATGGTAACATGGCTATTCACGAAGTCAACTTCAAGAAACTTGAGTTTGAAAAATACCATGTAAACATTGGGCTTTAATTTTGAACTTCTGCACCATAAGACACACGCCCATATTTTGGTCAACGGTATTGGCGGGTTTCCAGCCCACGCTTTCGCGGTTCAAGTTTCCATGTGTCTGGTTTCGCAAGCCCCAGTGGGACCCCGTCGTGGGCGACTTGTTGGACCTCATCGTGCGAGCCGCATAAAACATCGTCAATCGCAGAACGTGATGGTGCCAAACGTGTGCAACATTTCGAAAAGGGTTACAGCTTCGTTGTGGCTGACAGGGTTGTTTACGGCGTGTTGCAATTTCTGGTGGACTGCATCGGCTCGGGACATTTGGAAGGCTCCAGGCAGGCGGGAGGCCAAACACGGGCACTGATTCGAGAAATAAAAGTTTCAAGATAGTGATTCAAAGAGTTATTTTCAAGGTAATACTAGGACATAGATTTTCTTTACGCGTCTTCTGTGAAAATTTTACGGCCTCTTGCGCTCCTGGAGCCTTCCCAAATCCGGGCCACGAGCCGAGCCGATGCAGTGCACCGTAAATTGCAACACGCCATCAGGAGTTGATGGCAGAATTCGATTGCGGACAATGCGCAGAAATGTTCGCGAGCTTCGCATGCCTGCTACTACTTCGCAACAAATCCGTCGTCACAACTTGGGCCATTAGGATCTCACACGCCTAAAGATTTCTCGAGCTAGCAGCGGGCGCTGGTAGAAGCAAACCGACTGCTTGAAGTATACTCAAAGCTATGGAAGTGATTGACCGAACACGCGAAGTTTGCTTTTATCGACCGTACTACTTGAATTCATCGATTCTGTCGCGACGTCGATACTGCGCCTCCGCCTTCCCTGGCTCTTAGACTCGTGATTGCGCTGAACTTTCTTTGTTCCCCTGCGTTTATTAGAGTTTTCTTAGAATTTCTTTAGTCGGGACGGCGAGACACGTTATCGTCTGCTCGATATTTTCTCCACGCTAGTCGCTCCGTGCCTCAGCGTTCCCCAGCGAGCTCGCCGCATGGCGAGCCATACGGTTACGAACGCAGGTGCGTTTATAGATACGGACCAAACTGGCAACGACCCGCTGTCTGCTTTCAGGCGCAATGATTAAGCACCCTGTGCTCCCTAGCGCCCCTGGTCCGAACAGATGTTAGCATTTTGCGCCTCGCCTTCCTTTCCCACTCCTGCCTCCCTCTCCTTGCCCCCTCTTAGTCTGCGACCTTGTGCGTGCGATTTTTTGCAATAGCGTCGAGTCCCCCAGTGCCTCACCGAGGCGCGGTTGAGTTTTTTGAGCCGAACCCCCAGTGGCTCAACGGGGGGAGGCTTTGAGTGCATCAGTCATCCCAGCACACTAGCACTCGTAATCGACCTTGGTTGCGATGTGTCTTGCCTCCTCCGACCTTGTGCGTGCGTCTCTCATTCCTCACATGCCGTTCAATCCCCATGTAAATCCTTGCCTTTTTTTAAATTTGTGATTATATCGAGTGGCAGCCACTCCTTTTCAAAAGGGCGGGAAGCTGTCAGAGAATGGGAGAGGCGTTCTGGAATGGCCTCGCGTGAGCCCTCCGCTACTCGCGCTGCTCAACGCGCTGCTGCTGGCGCTCGTGGTGGTCGAGGTGTGGCCGCAATTCGCGGGCGACGGGCCCACGTGGGGAACACGCGGCACGTGGGGTGTGCAGCAGCCAATAGAAGCGCTGCTGGGCTCGCCCGGTGTAGCAAGAGGACGTAACGACGCCAACAGGTTTGTGATCACTTTCAGTTTGAGTGAGTCGTGCATGACCCTGATTCGCCTTATGTGTAAAACCGTTCATTTCCGTGTTAATTCTTGTGTTGAGCTCGTAGCTCCACCAGGTCTGTAATCGTGTTGGTCCACTCAGTAACCCGTTGCTAAAATCCATTCCGCGCGCATTCAGCCCCCATCCCTCCCCCATGTGCGCATTCTGCCCCCATTTCTCCCCCATGTGCGCATTCCGGCCCATCCCTTCCCCATGGTGCGCCTTCCGCCCATGCCTTCCCCATGTGCGCATTCCGCCCCCATCCCTTCCCTATGTGCGCATTCCGCCCCCATCCCTTCCCCATGTGCTCATTCCGCCCCCATCCCTTCTCCGTGTGCGCATTCCGCCCCCATCCCTTCCTCATGTGCGCATTCCGCCCCCATCCCTTCCCCTTGTGCGCATTCCGCCCCCATCCCTTCCCCATGTGCGCATTCCGCCCCCATCCTTTCCCCTTGTGCGCATTCCGCCCCCATCCCTTCCCCATGTGCGCATTCCGCCCCCATCCTTTTCCCATGTGCGCATACAAGGTCCAACTTGGGGCCCATGCGCGCCTTCATCCCCATGCCACACATCCCGCCCCCATGCACGAGTCAAATACCAAAATCCATATCTACTCCCTTCTGTCTCATCTGTACTAACCTGTCATGTCACCCCTTTTCCCCCCGCCTCTTCCAACCCGCTCCTATTCCGCGCCCCTCCTCTGCGCCCCTCCCCCGCGCCCGTCCTCCGCGCCCCTTCTTCCGCGTCTATCTCGTCTCCTCGTGCCGCATTCCATTGGCAGTAGCGCCACACGAGCACCGTCACACGCTGCAGACCGTCCATCCAATGCCGCCCATGCTCCATCCTATGCCGCCCTGGAGCAGGACATTTGCTGGTCATCAGGTACTAAGATCTTTCCCTCATCTGCTTTTTGAGCCGACTAGAAAGTCCTCTAGCCGGTGTAAAAGTCAACTCCTCCATCCAATGCCTCCCTAGCACGGGACATTCGGTGGTCATCAGGTACTATGTGCTTTGCCTCACCTTCCTTTTGTCTTTGCTCACCCGCTCGCTTGCATGCATGCCTTCTTTGCATGACTCAAAGCACGCCTTCATGTGTTTTGCCTTCACCAGCTTTCTGTGGTGCATCTTTGCTCGTTCGCTTCCTTCACTATGTTCTCGCGTTGCTTGAATTAAGATAGTGCGAGGAGTGCTAGAGGCAGTGCGAGGATTGCTAGAGGCAGTGAGAAAGCAAGCAACTGACTCATAGACACCCCGCTACCCCCTTTTTGCCCGAATCCCTCACAGAACCCGTTGTTACCAGCAGCATACGACCACAAGCAGCAACAGGAGAAGCAGCAGCAGCAACAACAACAGGTGGGGTGGTGGTGGACGGGAGGGGTTGCAGCCGCTGCGTGCGGGGCGAGCAGTGCAGCTTTCACGTGTGGGTGCGCCCGCCTGCTCGCTGGGTGCTGCCCCCTGTGGCTCCTGCGAGCAGTGAACAGGAGAACGGCGCAGAAGGGGGGAATAAAGGAGAGGGGGAGAGCAGCAGCGGCAGCAGCATGGAGCCCAGCTGGTGGAAGAAGGATGTGACGCTGTCTCTGCTGGGGCCTGCCCTGGGCCACGGGGAGGTGCAGTGCCTCGATCCCCCTGCCTGTTCGCACCTCCGCATCTCCTACCGCCTGTGGGATGCGGGGACATACAGGTGAGAGCCCAGCTGGTGGGAGAATGACAGTGTTTTCTCCTTGAAGGACCCTTCCTTGGGCCATACGGAGGTGCAGTGCCTTGACCTCCGCGCCTGCTCGCACCTGCTCGTCTCCTACCGCCTGTGGGATGCAGGCACTTACAGGTGAGAGCCCAGCGAGTACTTGCACGCACAGGTGGGGGAACGAAGTGTACAGGTGGGTCAAGCACTGGTGGTGCTGGCACAGGCACGCACTGGTGGTGCTGGCACAGGCACGCACTGTTGGTGCAAGCACAGGCATGCACTGGTGGTGACTTTTGAGTCGACTCAAAAGTCAATGTGGTGCAAGCACAGGCATTCACTGGTGGAGCAAGCACAGGCACGCACCTTCTCGTCTTCTTTGGTCGCTGGGGATCTACAGGAGTGAGTGGGACGGACACCATTCACTGCCTCGATCAGCTCAGCCATGCTCCAGCCATTGCGGCCCACGTGCTGCCCACGTGCTGCTCCAGGTCTCCACCTGCTTCACCGTTTCCCTATCCTGCCTGTGCTTCTGCACCACTTGCTGTCGATGCCCCCCTACCCCTCCTCCTGCTCTTCCTCCTCTCCCCCTCCATCCCCCGTCTTCCTCTTCCTCCTCCACTGCCTCCTCTCACTCACACTCCCCCCTTCTCTCACATTCTCTGCTGTTCCCCTTCCCCCCCTTTGGCTCACCTCTTTTCCCCTCCCCATGCCCCCCCGCACTCTGCACATGCCCGTCTGTCCCCACCCCCACTCCCCACTGCAGTGCAACACTCCACGTGGGTTGCGCCAATCTCAACTTCTCACCGGCCTTTGCCGCCCATTTCAACTCCACCTACCGCCATGACCTTGCCACGTGGAGCCTCTCCATTGGCTGGCCAGAATCAGTTTCCCAGAAGGTTCCTGGCTCTGCAGGTGCTCCTGCAAAAGCTGTTGATGCTGCTGCAGGTGATTCTGACGAATCTGCTGTTAGTGGCGCTGATGATGCTGGTGATAGTGGTGATAGTGGTGATGCTGCTTATTCCAGACCTGCAGATGCTTCTGATTCGGGGGCTGCAGCTGCTGCTGATGTTGATGATGGTGGTGACAGTGCTGCCAGGTCATCATCAGAAGGTAGGGTCCTTCTGGATGACGTGGCAGCTGGTGATGAGGCACTTGGAGAAGGCGATACAACCTCCGCAGATACCGCCTACCCAAATGCCACCCCCCCAGATGCTGCCTCTCCCAGCAAGCTACCCTCTCCCTGTGCACTCTCCTCCATCCCCGGTCGGTGGACCAAGGCACGCAGTGGCAAGTACATGTGAGTCGCCTCCCTCGCCCCCTGCCTCGCCCCTCTCCCCTTCATGTCCCCACGCCATGTGTCCCCTGTGTGGCAATCTGGTCAGTCCACCAGCAAATGAACGGCTGGGATTGTGCTTTCTGCTGCATGCACTGCTGCATCCCTCCCTGGGTGGTGGCAGAAGGCACACAGCAGCAAGTTCATGTGATGTGAGTAGCTGTTTGCCTTCTGGTGGCCTTGCTGCCTCACGAATTCCTTGCACCCTCCCTCCCTCACTCTCTCACTACCCGTCACCCACATCCCTCTCCCCCTTCTCTCCCGCACCACTGCAGCTGGGCCTTCTTCCCATGCGCACCAGCAGCGTCACCTCCCAGCCGTTGGATCGAGCAGCTGGCAAGCAGGGGAATCCGCGAGATTAACATAGTGGGCGATTCCCACCAGCGGGTGCTGGCGCTGCACCTGCACTGGCTGCTGTCGGGGGAGGCGGACAAGCGGATTCGAAAGGGACATTTAGACTTCAGCAAGGAGTCGCGGAATGAGAGGAACGAGACGATGAGGATCAACTTCTACTGGGTGGATGGGATTTACCGGAATGATGAGTTTGGATGCAGGTGCGTGTGGCGCTGGGTGGATGGGAGGGTTGTCTCTGGTGAGGGAGGAATAGGTGGAGGAATGAGATGATGAAAATCAATTTCTATTGGGTGGATGGGATTTACCAGGATGGCGAGCTTGGATGCAGGTGCGTGTGATTGCTGAGTTGGGGGGGGGGAATGGGAGGGGATCGAAGGGTGGGCTGGGAGAAGGAGGAACGATGGTGACTGGCAGTGTGTGCTAATGATGATGCATGGAATAGCGTGGAAGGAATGATACTGGAATATGGTGTGCTGGGAGCTGAAAGTAGTTGAATGAGTGGGGCAGGGCAGTGCTGCTAATGAACTTATGCCGGATGGATGGGATTAACCTCAAGAATTGGTCTGGCTGGTGTGTTTTTTAGTAGATGGGACACGTGTGATTGCATCTGCACGCACCTGTGCGCATGCGTGCATTATTTTGAGTAATGCTGTCTCAACCTTCCCCCCACTCACCTGCCCCTCTTCTCTCTGCTCCCCCCACGCTCCCACTCAAAACCCCTATATAAACCGCAGTCATCGGGGAATCTACACCCATCGCAACACCACATTCCCAACCAACGTATCCACCACAGCTGACGTTACCCTTCTAGAAGCAGGCTACTGGATGAACAAGTGGTGCACAGAGCCAGTCCAAGCCATGCGAGCCCACCTCCCAGAGTACCTCAATTGGGGATTGCAGTTCGCCGCCCAAACCGGGAAGCCAATAGTGTTGCGCACGGCGCCTCCAGTGCCGAACGGGGGCGATCATTGCTTCGTGGGATCGTATCCCGGGCCAGCTACGAACCTGGCACTTATGGAGATCAATCGGTTGATGCGTCAACTTACAGCGGGTGGTAAGGTATATGGTGGAGGTGCTAATGGGTTAGGTAAGAAAAGAGCAGATAGTGCAAATGAAACAGGTTACAGCGAAGCTGATGTGGACCCAGCTGAACCATGGGACGACGCGTCAATATCGAGAGCCTTTACTGTGGATGAGATGAGGCAGGTCTCGACGGTGCCGGTGTTTGATTCGTGGAAGATCGAGGCTCCTCGGTACATGGACGTGTGTCCAAAGAAGGACCACCACTATTCATGCTATCGAGAATTTGCGAACAGAAAAGCAGAGATTCGAGGTCCAGTGGGGGAGGCTGTTGCGCGTGCATTGGTACACTTCCTACTCCACACGTTGTAATTTATTATTTCATTGATTGTGTATCCCATTGTTCTCACCAAACTGTATCCTTGTGTGCCATACTCGCCAGGGCTCAGATTTGCAGTGTAATTTACCCTTCTATACTGATAATAAGGGTGAAATTTGAAGTATACACTGATGGGCTGGGGTATTTTTTTGGTGAATTAGTGTTACACTGATCTGTAAGTGTATCGTTGTAGGCCACACTGATGCCTTGGGGTAAATTTCTAGTTATCGAAGATTACACTGAAGGGCGTACAGGGACCACCCCCCTCCCCCCCCCCCCCCCCCACCCCTTTCTTTTCCCCGAGATTTGTCAAATCGTGATTTCCGTCAATAACGCAAGTACCGAGGTTACCTTTCGTTCAGTACCGTATCACCTCTGATAGTAGCGCATATGCGCTTATAATTGAGGAAAGGGCATACCGTAATCCCCCGGATAAAAGACCCTAGGGTCTGTTATTGATTTCACAAAAAAATGTGGGGGGTCTTATTAAAGGGTAAAAAACCTATAAGACCCGGGTCTTATAGGAAGTGCTATGTTTTTTACAATATAATGAAATGTTTGGGTGTTGTAATCCAGAATTGCGTTTTTTTAACGAGAAAAACCCTCGTGAATGTCCATGAAGCATTTGAATGCTTCATACTCATTGGCCCATATTCAATGGTAACCAGGTGTTGAGAGGCTGCCTTGATTGTATTTTGTGACTCTTATGGCCGAACATGTGCCACTACTTGCTTAAAACCGAAATATGGAATAGTGAACCCCGTACCAGCTTGAAAGGGTCTTCCAGAGTGGGTTTGCAAAGGACTGTTTCAAACATTTCGTGTGTGCAGATCGAAGCCATTTGATTGGCTCCCGCCAAAAACGAAATTTTTAGGCCTTACACAAGGAGTCGCCTTCAACATGATGCACCCGCACGACGGCTGCACGGCGATCATTGCGATCATTGGGTCCAACTCCAACTTCAAGCTGGACCTGGGTTCCACTACTTCTTTCCGCTCTAGTCTCTAGTTTAGCCAAGCTTAGAATAGCTGAAAACATAGGCATTTTTGCCTAGGCAACTACCATTTTTATAAATTTAATCCTCATCCTTCTATTCGTGGCCTGGTGGCGAGGAATCTTACGCGCCGCGTAGCGACACTTGCCTCGAGATTATTCGGCTGAACGCGCTCGCCGCCGAAACGGCCTTTCGTCGCCCTCTCTCTCGCCCCTCTCTTCCCGTCGTGCTCTCTCTATCCGCGCTCTTCCCGTCGCCTCCCTTCCCATCGCGCTCTCTCTCCCCCCTCCCTTCCCATCGTGCTCTCTCTCTCTCTCTCCGCTCCCTTCCCGTCGCCCTCTTGTCAGATATATATGACATAGCTATTGTAGGCTATAGTGGGGTAGCACATATGGGGTACAGCTTTCTAGGGTTTGTATTTGTACCCAACTTTCCCTTAGACAATCCATTCTCGTTCAACTTCTCTCATGGCATCGAGCAGGTTCCCCTGTGGGAACTGCGCCTAGGGCCCACCACTTCGACTTTTTTTAACTGCCCGAAGCGCGCTCATCCCGAGTAGCGCCTCGGGCTGTTAACTCGACGAGCCGCCCTAGCGGCCTTCCCTCCCCTAGCGGCCCTGCCGCCCTACTGTCGCGGCCCCGCCGCCCCTGATTCGCGGCCTCGCCGCCCTGCTTTACCGGCCCCGCCGCCCTGCTTTAGCGGCCCCGCCGCCCTACACCTAGCGGCCCCGCCGCCCTACACTTCGCGGCCCCGCCGCCCTGCTTTAGCGGCCCCGCCGCCCTACACCTCGCGGCCCCGCCGCCCTGCTTTCTCGGCCCCGCCGCCCTTCATTTCGCGGCCCCGCCGCCCTGCTTTAGCGGCCCCGACACCCTTCCTTAGCGGCCCCGTCGCCCTGCTTTAGCGGCCCCGCCGCCCTGCTTCAGTGGCCCCGCCGCCCTGCTTTAGCGGCCCCGCCGCCCTACACCTCGCGGCCCCACCGCCCTTCATTTCGCAGCCCCGCCGCCCTTCTTTAGCGGCCCCGCCGCCCTACACCTCGCGGCCCCGCCGCCCTGCTTTCGCGGCCCCGCCGCCCGACTCTACCGGCCCCGCCGCCCTTCTGCTGCGGCCCCGCCGCCCTGCACCTGGAGCCCCGCCGCCCGTCTGCTGCGGCCCTGCCACTCTCCTCTCCTGCCCGCCACCCGAGCCGCCGACCGCAGCACCACCCTGCAGCGTGCACCCGAGCAGCCGACCGCCGCGCCGCTGAGTACCGGAGGAGCCGGGCCGCCCAGCAGCAGAGCCGCCCGGCCGCCCACCAGCTGAGCCGCCGTTCAGCCGAGCCGCCCAGTAGCCGAGCCGCTGTGCAACCGAGCCGCCCAGCAGCCGAGCGCCGAGCCGCCGAGCCGCCTAGCCGCCCAGCCGCCGAGCCGCTATGCAGCCAAGCCGCCCAGCAGCCGAGCGCCGAGCCGCCGAGCCGCCGAGCCGTTGAGCCACCCAGCAGCCGAGCCGCCCTACTACCGAGCCGCCCGACCTGCCCTGTCGGGTGAGCGCAGCCCCACTATCACTGCGTGCCCTTCCCCTACTGCTTGCACTGCTAGTCTATCGTCGTCATGGCTACCCCTAGTGTCCTCACTTTTGACGCTGAGGGTCAAGCCATTGACTTTGAGGTCTGGGTCGACGACCTGCAGCTGTTTTTACAGTGCGATAGGGCGGACGGTCTTTCTCTCTTTGACCTCACCTCTGGCGCCTCTCCTGCCCTTGCTACTGACGCTGACCCCACTGTTCGCTCTCAGTGGGCCAACCGCGATGCTGCTGCACGTCTTGCTGTGCGTCGCCACCTGGCTACCACTGAGCGCGCGCACTTTAGTCAGTACAAGAGTGCTCAGACCTTGTACGACGCTGTAGTTGCGCGCTACTCTTCTCCTGCCACTGCTGCACTGAGCCGCCTCATGCTACCGTACCTCTTTCCTGACCTTGCTGCCTTTCCCACAGTCGCCGACCTCATTACGCACCTCCGCACTAGTGACACTCGCTACCGCGTCGCACTTCCTGTTGAGTTGTGCGCCAAGAACCCTCCCCCCATGTACATCACTCTCTATTACATAATCACACGCCTCCTTGACTCCCTTCGCGTAGTCAGGGACCACTTTCTCTCAGTCTGTCCCACCAGTCTCACTGTTGACCTCCTCGAGAAGGCCCTCCTGGCGGCGGAGAAGAGCATCGTCGCTGTAGGAGCCTCTCATGGTGACCCTCGCACCCCCATCTTTGAGGGGTGTTCTCCTTCCCCCCTGCTGCCCTCTGTTGCCTCTGCTGTTGCTGCCGACCTGCTTAGTCTTGAGTCTGTCGGCGCGGCGTCTGCCCCTAGCGGGAGACGTCGACCTGGCAAGGGCAAGGGGGGCAAGGGCGCGGGTGGAGCTGGCGGGGGCGGTGGAGGTGGCGGTGGAGGCGGCGGAGGGAGTGGGGGTGGCGGTGGGAGTGGTGGCGGGGGTGGTGGTGGTGGTGGCGGCAGCTGAGGCGGAGGCGGTGGCGGCGGCAGCGGTGGGAGCGGAGGCGGCGGTGGTGGCGGAGGTGGAGGCGGCGGTGGCGGAGGGGGTAGAGCTGGTCGGGGTGGTGCCCCGCAGCGGAGCGGCTCTAGTGGTGGTCAGCGCCAGCAGCAGCAGCAGCGTTCTCGGGACATCCCCCCGCCTCAGCAGCTCCGTGAGTGGTACGCGCAGCGTTAGCGTGGTGGGGGTTTTGTTCCGTGCACCTACGTCCTTCGTTCCGACGACCGTGCGGGTGAGCAGTGTGGGGGTGCCCACCCCACCCAGCGTTGCTTTGGCCTCCTGACGGACGCTTGGCGTCAGCAGTTCCCCGAGGCTAGTGAGATTCCCCGCTGGGGAGAGCTATCTAGGGCTGGCGTAGCTATCTTTGATCTTGACTTTGATGCTATCCTTGCTGCCATGTATGCTGTGACTACTAGTGATGAGGGTGACTGTTACCGGTGTTTCCCGCCCGACCCGGGCATTGGTACTACTGCGCTAGGTGCTTGTGAGGCTGCTGCTCTAGGTGCCAGTGCGTCTGCGCTCTCAGGTACTGGTGAGGCTGCGCTCTCAGGTACTACGTCGGCTTCGGCCTCCCTCACCTTCACACTTGACTCTGGGGCTTCTCGCTCCTTCTTTCGAGACCGCACCACACTCACGCCGCTTGGTCGGCCGGTTGCAGTCTCCCTGGCTGACCCCTCTGGGGGACCTGTCCTCTCTCACTTCTCCACTGTCCTCCCGTGTCCGACTGCCCCCTCTGGCACCCTGTCTGGTCTGTACCTCCCCTTGTTCTCGACGAACTTGGTGAGTGGTGGTAACCTGCAGGATGGGGGGGTTCACCAGTTTACTCCTGCAAGTCAGCGGGTGACCCACTGCTCGGACGCCCGCACAGGCCGACACCTGGCCACGTTTTCGCATCGGCCGGGGTCGAGTCTCTACACCCTGACCACTGCGTCTCCTCCTGTCCCTGCGTCTGGCCAGGTAGCTGCGTCGGGTCAGGTGTTTGCTGCTGCGTCCAGGTCTGGTCCTCAGTCTGCCCCCTTCTCGTGTCGCCTCCTGTCTCACGAGACTCTCCTGTGGCACCACCGTCTTGGCCACCCCTCCCTGCCTCGTCTTCGGGGCATGGCTTCCCGTGTCCTTGTCTCTGGTCTCCCCTGGTCTCTCCTTCCCCTTCCTTTGGGGCTAGGACCTTCCTGTGTCCCCTGTGTCGAGGGGCGGCTCCGGGCTGCCCCTCACTCCTCCCAGTTTCCCCCGACAGAGGCTCCTCTGCAGACGCTTCACATGGACGTGTGGGGCCCGGCCCGCGTCCGTGGACAGGGTCACGAGCGCTACTTCCTGCTGGTGGTTGACGACTACTCACGTTACACCACAGTCTTCTCCTTGCGTAGCAAGGGTGATGTCACTGAGGTGTTGATCGACTGGATCCGCGCAGCTCGTCTCTAGCTCTGGAGGAGCTTCGGCTCGGACTTTCCTGTCCTGCGTCTGCACTCTGACCGAGGTGGAGAGTTCTCCTCTGGCCTTCTGCGAGCCTACTGTCGTGCACGAGGCATCCGCCAGACCTTTACGCTTCCGGACTCTCCATGGCAAAATGGGATTGCTGAGCGCCGCATTGGCATGGTCATGGACGTCGCTCGTACGTCCATGATGCATGCGGCTGCCCCCCATTTTCTGTGGCCGTTTGCGGTTCGGTACGCGGCGCATCAGATCAATCTTCACCCCAGGGTCTCCCGGCCGAAGACCTCCCCAGCTCTGCTGTGGACGGGGAAGGTCGGCGATGCGTCTGCGTTTTGGGTCTGGGGATCTCGGGCGTTTGTCCGCGAATTGTCTGCGGACAAGCTGTCCCC